ACGAAGCTTCAGGGTCTTCTCGGCCATGGTCATGCGCTCCCCTTCTCTACGCTTGACAAACGTGGACACCCCTAATGGAACATCTTCACCGGTTTATCCAGGCTGGATTGTGTGAGGTGCTCACAAAGCCTTGAAAGATCTGGGACAAAGTCCCATCGGGTGAGCTCCTCCGGCAGGCAAGGCTGCGTTGGCTGGGTCATGTAGCCCGCATGCCCAGCCACCGCATGCCTAAACAGCTTTTGTTCGGCCGGATCGAGGGGGGCTAAACCGGCGCGGAACGGGCTAGAGAAGAGATGGAGAGATGTGGTACAAGAGGACGTGGAGCGTAGTGGATTTGTCGATGGCTGGTACCGGCGGTGTCAGTTTTCAGTTTCATTTTCGTTTATTTGGTATAGCCCTGTGAGCCATTCGGGTCTTGAATCGGGTGCAACCGCAACAAACCAAAAACTAAAAACATGAACAAGAAAACAGGTTAAGTGACTATGCGCAAACAGAAAAATCCAGAAAAAGCAGCAAAAATCTTCCAGAAAAAGCACCGTGTACACCAACGCTGTGTGCAAAAATCCCAGTGGGATGCAAGTAAAATAACAACAACCACAAGACAACTTAAATTTAAAGCCATCAGTCTAACTCCGTACTATAACAAACAAACATGGCCAAACCAAAACACTTTTTCGACGTTTTTTGGTTTGGTGTCAAAGTCGGCCTCTGTGGAGGAGGCTCGTGAAGGACGCTGCTGCTGGGCAGTTGGACGCAGTCGCCCTCCAGCAACAAGGGAGGGCGGAGGAGCGACGCTCACAACAACCAGCGGAGCGCTGGGCGGCTAAAACACAGCAATTTGGCACAGTAGGGGTGCAGCTGGTGGTGCATCGGCCAGTGATCTCAGTCATCACAGTCAGTCGACCCGTGGCACCTGCTGGGTCTGTCCCGTGACCTCCTGCCAGCGGGCGGTCGACACTTCACGTGGCCTTAACGTGCACCTAGCCTGGCACAGGCGTCGTGGTCACATCGTGGCGGTTGTTGTTGTTCTGGGGAGCGGTGGTGTAGCGGTTAGCGCTACGCTGCGCTACGAACCTGGCTACCCGGGTTCGATTGCCGCTCACGGCCAACACCAGTTGACGATTATCTGAACCGGTCCTGGGCCTCCCCTAGGTCGACTCAGCCTCAATTGAGTTGCTGATGCGGTGTGTAAACATCGCCACTGGGGAGGCAAAGGCGGCCGTTAGTGATGTTGGTCACCCACCCCCCTCGTGTGCCATGCTGGCCTTCATTAACAGTCTGTTCAGGGTATACGGGGGTTCTTTCTCTTTGTGATCACACAATTCATTGAATAATTTGCGGTGTAAATGTTTCGAATTTGACACCGGTGGCACACTAAAAACTCAACAATTTTTATTTATTTTATTTTACCGGCTAAGAGGGCCCATAGAGCCATTGTGTCGATTTGTTTCAGAAACGACCTGGCCACACATGATAGTTCAACCAAGTAGCTCATCATCATCATCATTTAAATTCATCAAGAGCCCTTAAACAATGGGTCTCAGTGGCCCTATGCATGAAAAGGGGGAGGGGGTGGCGGAAAATAGTTAAACGTGAACCAAGGAGAGAAAGAAAGACGTCAGAAGGACGTTCGAAAATAACTAAAGAGATAGAGGAAGCCATTTTTAGACGGATACGTTTTTAGTCGACATTTGAAGACGCGTCAGTGTGTCTCGAAAGCCGTCCCCTTGACCTCGAAGGGGTCAAGGGGCCGTCCATAAATGACGTCACGCGATTTTGACCCGCCCCCCCCTCGTCACACGGCGTCACAAAAAGGCAGACCCCCCCCCCCCTCAAATATGACGTCACAAAGCTCTGCCCCCCCCCCAAAAAAAATATCAAACATGCTTCAAATCGCTTTAAACTATTGTCATTGTAGCGCGTATTTAATGTGGCGCTGCACTCTGATGTTGTAGGTAGAAAACATTTATTAAAAAGTCTATTTAATTAAGTAGAACGCGTTGTCCGTATTTATTTAAAGTTGCGCATTTTTATGTGACGTCACATTTCTCAAACACCCCCCCTCCCTCCCCTCGTCACACATCGTCACAAATGTCTGACCCCCCCCCACCCACCCACCTAGGTGCGTGACGTCATTTATGGACGGCCCCAAAGAGGAGTTGCAGCGTTCAGGTGACGCAATTGCAAAGGCATCGTCGTCACCCCCACCCGTGCCGGACTAAGCTCGTGCGGGGCCCTGTAGCAAATGTTATAAAGGGGGCCCTAAATAAAAAAAAAACACGTAAATATTAAAACACACTTTTTTTTACTTTGCATAGTAAAGTAATTGTATTTTTTCATTTGCTATACGACAAAATCGCTAAACCTTAAACACCGGGTCGTTCATAAAAGTTCGAAGGCGGTGTAGTACTATAGTAATAGAGCAAGTGCGGAATCACTGAAGCGGAATTGATAGCTTGTAAGCGTTTAGCGCGGGGCCCTTGAAAGTGCGGGGCCCGAAGCATTTGTAGCAACTTGTGCTCCTAGGATAATAAGACACTGCCCCCCACCCCCCACCGAGCGTGAAGCCGACAGACCCTGGAGACGTTGACCAATGCACACCGCGCTTCCGCTGAGGCCCGCTTGAAGGAGGGTCATTGGCCGAAACGTCGACTGTTTTACAAACACATTCGGTGTTCTACACCACCATCACCACTACCACACGGTGGTGGTAGTGGTGGTGGTGGTGTTCTTGAGGAATGTTTGTTTTTTCATGGGAACGTAGGGCGACACTTTTTGGAGAGATGTTAACTACCTCGCCTGGTATACAGGAGGGCATGGGTTCGATCCCGACCCTTGACGCCTGTTGTATATTTGGAGTTTGCGTGTCTCTCGCGCTCATCATCATCATCACGGTGGCTTGGAGATGTTTACTACCTCGCCTGGTATACAGGTAGAACGTGGGTTCGATCCCGACCCCTGACACTTGTTGTATATTTGGAGTTTGCGTCTCTCTCTCTCTCTCTTCCCGTGGCCACGTGGATTATTTTTTCGGCTCTTCTGTTTTTTCCCCTCGACATGCATTTGTAATATATGACTACGGCTCTACCTTTCCACGCGAAGATGATAAACCACTTCGTCGGGGGTATCATTCGTCGCCAGGGTCGCTTCGAGAAAAATAACCACATCGCTCAGAGGGGCCTTTAACTGGTGAAATAAAAAAAAATGTAGTGGACTGATAACACGGTGGTCGGTACACGTTGATTGTTTTTTTTTTTACAAATATCAGACAATGTACGTGTACGTATATTTCAAATACAACTCACACACGTGTATAGGTTCATCATGCTTCTTTAATAAAAGATGGAATGCATTAACTTAAAGCACCACGAGTCTATCAATGCCATTTGTTTTATGGCAGGGGGCTTTGGGTTATCAGCAGTCACAGGCGAGCCACGATTAGCCGGATTTAGGAGCCAGCAGTTTCCGTACATTCCACATCACTCTGACGAGTCTCTGTCACGTCACAAAGAAGAGAGCATCGCACAAATAACGATTACAACCTGCGACGATAACGCAGCAGCCGAAGATGATCCTGTTGCTGCTGATGCATGTACCGTATGCATCAGTTCCTGTGATCACTGTCACGTTGTTTTTTATAGCTTTATCTTGGTGATTTTTAAAACGCCTCCGTTTGGCCATGTTTGTCTGTTGAAGTACAGAGCTAGCCCGATAACTTTAATCTAAATTGTCTTATGGTTGTTAATGTTTGACTTGCATCCCACTGGTGAAAATGCGGTGCTTTTTCTGGAAGACTTTGCTGTTTTTTTCCGGGATTTTTCCTGTCGCGCGTAGTCACTTTCAGATGTTTCTCGTCGCGGTTGCACCCGAGTCAAAGAGCCGCATGGCTCACAGGGCTATGCCTAACGCATGAAACTGAAAACTGAAACGTATGCTGAACTTCTTTCGCACCGTACGAGAGCCAACCGTGTGTGTAATCGGAGGCGCGGAAATGCCCGCATGCAAACCGCGTGGATCATTGAGTTTCGTCCAGGAGAACTCTCGTGCCCACCACCGCCAACCTCAATTCCCACCCTCTCGACCGTAACCGGAGTGGGGGAGCTGCGGTGCGCACGACCAACAATCTCGCCACGGGCCCTTCGAACAACACGGGCGTACGTAAAAAAATAAAAAAAGGGAAAACAAAAACCGTCAACGCGGCAGAATAACTTAAACATTTTTTTTTTACCGCAGACGCTTCGGCATCTGCGCTGGCCGTAAATCACGCCAAGAAAATGTTTCGTACTTTGGCGAGATGTTAACTACCTCGCCTGGTGTACAGGAGTTTGCGGGTTCGATCCCCATCCTGACGTCTGCTGTATGTTTGGAGTTTGTGGCGTCTCTCTCATCATCATCATCATCACGGTGGCTAGGAGATGTTAACTACCTCGCCTGGTGTACAGGAGGTTGCGGGTTCGATCCCCATCCTGACGTCTGCTGTATGTTTGGAGTTTGTGGCGTCTCTCTCATCATCATCATCATCATCACGGTGGCTAGGAGATGTTAACTACCTCGCCTGGTGTACAGGAGGTTGCGGGTTCGATCCCGATCCTGACGTCTGCTGTATGTTTGGAGTTTGTGGCGTCTCTCTCATCATCATCATCATCACGGTGGCTAGGAGATGTTAACTACCTCACCTGGTGTACAGGAGGTTGCGGGTTCGATCCCCATCCTGACGTCTGCTGTATGTTTGGAGTTTGTGGCGTCTCTCATCATCATCATCATCACGGTGGCTAGGAGATGTTAACTACCTCGCCTGGTGTACAGGAGGTTGCGGGTTCGATCCCGATCCTGACGTCTGCTGTATGTTTGGAGTTTGTGGCGTTTCTCATCATCATCATCATCACGGTGGCTAGGAGATGTTAACTACCTCGCCTGGTATACAGGAGGTCGTGGGTCTGATCCCAACCCTGACGCTTGCTGCTATATATTTGCAGTTTGCGGTGTCTCTCTCTCTGTGCTCGTGTGGATTTTTCCCCGGATCCTCCGGTTTTTCCCTCCGCATTCAGAATCAACGTGCATTCAGAGTATTCGGCTGCTATACATTTCCACACGATGGCGATAAGCCACTTCGTTCAGCGATCGTTTGCGATAGGCCAGGTCACTCCTGAAACAAGAGCGACACGGCTCAGTGGGCCTTCACCTGGTAACAATAAAATGTTTTAGTTGAGTTGGCTTTTCCACCGAATTTCTTGTTTGCGGCGACTGCCACATTTCTATTTTTATTTTGTCGAATAAAAAACGTCGAGAACTCGGCGTTGCCCTGACCAAATATCCGCGGACGCCGCCGTTTAGCGAGCGCGCAAATTTGGCCCAAGGATTTTTCGTAAAAAAGGAATATTACCCCCCCCCCCCCTTCACCGTTTTCCCCTCTGCCAGACCCGAGAGCCGGGGCCGGCGTTATTGGGCCCTTCGCTGGTTTTCCGGGCGCTGTTTTCCACAGCGACAGTTCTGCGGCGTCAGAGGCCGCCGCCGCCGCCGACGCCGCCGCCGCCGCGAACCAACGCGACGTCCGAATCTGATTCCGGCGGCCCAAGCGGACGCCGGTGGGCGGGTGCCGACGACCCGGCCGTGGGACGTCGACGGCTCGGCTTCTGCAGTGGAAGGAAAAGAAAAAAACCAGACCCGCCAGCCGGGGTGCCAGCACCGGCACGGCTTAGTTGTGCCAGTGGAAAACAAACGACTCGCCAGCCGGGGGCCGGCACCGGCAAGGATCGGTTGTGCCAGTGGGAAAAAAATAAATGGACGTCGCGCTCCAGGCGGCCGCTCAGCTGCCGCGCCTTACTTATAAGGGGTGGAGGTATCGCGAGATCTTGGATTTTAGAAAGCGCAGGAAGGACTTTGGAAATAGATTCTTGGCGTGCTGAGACGTGGACTTGAAGTAGCTGTGAGGATTCGCCAGGACTTCGAATAGGGTCTTGACCAGCTTCTTGTTCTGAGAACGAAAGACGGAGAGGGGAAGAAGGACAAAAGAGAGAGACAGAGAGATTTGTTAAAGAGACGCATCTGATGAATGCCCTCGCGCCCAGGTTTCCGATTGGGGTCTCTCGCAGACAAATGATGAGACCGATGGTCTAAGCTTGGCCACAATATCGGAAAATCGCTACCCCAACTACTGCGCATGTATACCACCCTCCCCCCCCCCCCCCCCCCCATTTTACAGCCCCCACCACGACCCACCGATCACGCCATCCCTCACTCCAAATCACCTCGGCTCTGGCCGAGTCTCACCGTGGAACACAGTGGCCACATACACCTTTAAAAACACAAGCCCACACAACAAACCCAAGCCCCGTTCGTCCGGAGAACGGGGCGGGACCTACAGAGGAAGGTGCGGGGCCTAAGTACGAAGGGGTGGGACTGCGAGGCGAGGGGGGGCGGAGCATACAAAGAAGACGGTGGGAGCTAAAGAGGAAGGGGCACGGCCTGAAGAGGAGGGGATGGAGCCTAAGGAGGAAGGGGTGGGGCTTAACGAGGAGGGGGGCGGGAACTAAACAGGAAGGGTCGGAGCCTGAAGAGGAATGAGCTCGCCAGAAGGCGGTGCAGAAAAGTGTTGACTGATCTCCGTCTGTTTACATCTGTGTGGGGTTGTTGTCCCCTCGTGAGAGACGGTGACTCAGATGGCTCGAACATGTTCACAGAAAGGACCAGGGACCGTATACCAAAAACGTCCCTAAGGTGGCCACCACCAGGCAAAAGAAAACCTGGGTTGACCCGAGACCACCTGGTGCAAGGCCGTAAGGTAGGGGTGAGGAACGTCCGACCCGCGGGCCGTATACGGCCCGCGAAATCATCTGGTGTGACCCTGCCAAGGCAACCGCAGGCGGGACTCGAAATTCAATAAATCTAGGAGCAAACCTGGAAAAGCAGTTGCGAGTAGCAACATCGTCAATACCGGCTAACATCATCACACGCCTCACCAAAGAGAAGCGGTTCCAGCCATCGCATTAGGGGCGAGTTAATTCAATGTTTGACCAAAAATAACAGGCTAATTTTTCAGTTGATAATTGTGTATGGCCCGCGAATGATGTTATAAATATCCAAGTAGCCCTGGGCAGAACATTTTTTTCCCACCGCCTGCCATTAAGGTTGAGCTGGCAGCAGCGATCAACCTATCTTGGGGTGAGGCTCAACAAGAAGCGGAGGGAACTCATTGTGCGGCCTTATGTCCAATAGGGGATGAAGAGGATGAACTCACTAACTATACATTTGTGTTGCTTTTAATTTTTGTTTTTTTCGGTAAAGTAACGTAATCAATCAGGCTATGCGTTAATTGTGTTTTGACCATCTGTGTTGCTTTATATGTGTTGCTTTTTTTAACCCAGTGTAGCAGAACCCTCATGACAAAGTCATCAGACTTAGTGTAGCTCTCCTGGTTTTTTATTATCGCTATAGTATTTCGAATGCAGTCTCCGTCTCAAGGCAAAACGTAGACGATTTGTAAAAATGTAGACATCTCGTAGACAGGGAGATGGACTGACCTTGAGCACCTGTTGATGAGACTCGAAGGAGTAGAGATGACCATCGCTGATGATGTCCTGGATGAGATCTTCGTATTCCTCTGGAGGGCCAGAGTGTTCACCATGACATTTACCACGAGTTACCACTGTGTGCGTACCGTGGTATGTATGCATCACTGTGGGTAGTGCAGTGGGTAGCGCGCTGCTGTGCTACAAACCCTGGGGGGAGATCTTTCTCTTTGGAGTGTTTGGAGCATCGTGCCACCAACCCCACGACTCGAGTTCAATTCCCGCTCACGGCCAACACCGGTGACGGTTATCTGAACCGGTCCTTGGCCTCCCCTAGGTCGACTCAGCCTTAAGTGAGTACCTGGTGCGGTGTGTAAACATCGCCACCGGGGAGCAAAAAGTGGCCGGGCCGTGGTGCTGGCCAACCACCCCCTCGTGCGCCGTGCCGGCCTTCATAGGTGCTGCAACTCGCTAAAAGTCTCGATGTGCTGTGCGGTCTCTCAAGGCTACACGGGCGATATTTGTCCTTGTGTACCGTGGTAGGCCACGTAGTCCATGTGGAAGCCCGCCGCTGTCGCGCCCTCTGCCTCTGCTGCGGCGATGCCCGTTGAGCCGGAGGAGGAGGAGAAGTCGACCCAGACTCGCCGCGCCGGGACGTTGAGCAGCAGGGGTCGCGCGCGTGACGAGCACAGCTCCAGCCACACGCGGCCCTGCGGTGACACTGCAGCGGCCCCTCGTTAAGGACACGTTCCGGTGATGCTCGTGAAAAGCAAATTTCGTGAGCGTGCAAATTGCGGCGTTCCCTCGTTATCCGCGAGGGACACGTTCCGGTGATGCTCCTGAAAAGCAAATTTCGTGAGGGTGCAAATTGCGGCGTTCCCTCGTTATCCGCGAGGGACACGTTCCGGTGATGCTCGTGAAAGGCAAATTTCGTGAGGGTGCAAATTGCGGCGTTCCCTCGTTATCCGCGAGGGACACGTTCCGGTGATGCTCGTGAAAAGCAAATTTCGTGAGCGTGTAAATTGCGGTGTTCCCTCGTTATCCGCGAGGGACACGTTCCGGTGATGCTCGTGAATACCGGATTTCGCGAATAATGATATTCTCTTTGGTTCTTTCGGTATAGTCACGTAGAATGAGAATAAAATAATAAATTAATAAAATAACACAATAAAATTCTCACGACGTTTCGGCCACAACACAAGTGGTCTTCTCGTGTTGTGGCCGAAAAACGTCGTGAGAATTTTAATTGCGTTATTTTATTTTATTAATTTATTATTTCATTCTCATTCTACGTGGTGGTGACTTTACCGAAAGAACCAAAGAAGACGAATCCTTGCAGTCACGAAAGCTTTAAATCGAAATGATATTCTCTTTTGAATCAACGACCTGAAATCAATACGCTCGCACGGTGTTCGGGCTGTATGTACGGCGGCTAACTTCGTTCAACCGGAAGTGAGCGACACGTGTTTGGTTTGAATTCACTCAGATGCGGATATGCGGTCGGGCGTGGTACAGCAAGGTACCGTGTGTACTGTGTGTACTGTGTTTGTATTTCATGCACTGTGTGTGTGCATTGAGGGCGCTACTCGGCAGGCAGCTGACGCCTCGTGCGGTTTGGCTTCGTGCGCCCCATTATTTCGGAACGCATCTACTACCACTACTACTACTACCACCCGCACAGAGCGAGGGGAATCCTCTACCCTATATTGTACAGTGTGTGTTGCGCAGCACACTGTACGTCGCACAGCACGTGGCGCATCGCACTGTGCATCGCGCTGTGCGCTGTACATTGCACGCGGCACTGCGCGTTGCACGGCGCACGGCGCCTGCACCCCGCGTCGTGCATGTCCACGAACTCACGGCTGGCCTTGACCGACAGGCGGTCGGTGCAGGCGACGTCACAGGGGCGAAGCTCCGCCTCCGGCAGCAGCAGCAGGAGGCGGTGACGCGCAGGGGCCGTGACGAGCCACTGGCACGAGGCCGGCACGGGGTAGCTCCCGGGGTGGTTGGGGCTCTCCAGCTCGCCCACCAGGTCCCCCAGGTCCCCGCCACAGCGGGCACCTTGCCAACCCCCCCCCCACCCCCGAAGATAAAGATCGCTCCACCCGCGGCGCGGCAAGTCCTCGCTTAACGTGTGGCGGTGTTCACACCTCTCTATGTAACGCGGTTTTTTGTTTGTTTGTTTTGTTCTCTCTCTCTCTCGCTACAACGCGATTCTTCCATTAGGGGAACATTGTTCGCATATGGCGGAACGTGTGTCCTCCGTTATAACGTGTAACTCGTGCTACGTTGTAACGTGTAACTCGCGCTACGTTATAACGTGTAACTCACGCTCCACGTTATGACGTGGAACTCGCGCTCCACGTTATGACGTGGAACTCGCGCTCCACGTTATGACGTGGAACTCGCGCTCCACGTTATGACGTGGAACTCGCGCTCCACGTTATGACGTGGAGCTCGCACTACGTTATGACGTGTAACTCGCGCTCCACGTTGTAACGTGGAACTCGCGCTATGTTATAACGTGGAACTCACGCTCCACGTTATAACGTGATACTCGCGCTACGTTATAACGTGGAACTCGCGCTACGTTATAACGTGGAACTCACGCTCCACGTTATAACGTGGTTTCTGATCGGTCGACAATGAACTACTTTCTTGAGCTGCCCGGCTGAGCGCTACAGTGATGCAGTGTAATTTATGGCCAGATCGCTTCTGAAAAAGAGCTGGAAAGCTCAGTGGGCCTTACCCTGTAAAATAAACAACTTGCCAAATTTGAATATGACCTGTAAATTACTCTTTCGGGAATATAAAACTTTAAAGACTATTTAAACTAGTTTTAATTTTACCAGGTAAGGCCCACTGAGCAATACAGCTCTTTTTCAGAAGCGACCAGGCCACACGTGATGGCTTAGCATCATCACGTGGAAATTTGGAGCAGGCAAATACTCAAACAGCACGTTGATTCGAAATACGCACGGGAAGAATCGGAGGACCCGGAGAAGAATCCACGCGACCACGGGGAGAGAGAGAGAGACTACAAACTCCAAATATACAGCAGCAGGCGTCAGGGTCGGGATCGAACCCACGACCACCTGTATACCAGGCGAGGTAGTTAACATCTCATAGCCACCGTGATGATGATGAGAAACGCAAACTCCAAATATACAGCAGCAGGCGTCAGGGTCGGGATCGAACCCACGACCTCCTGCGTACCAGGCGAGGTGATTAACATCTCATAGCCACCGTGATGATGATGAGAAACGCAAACTCCAAATATACAGCAGCAGGCGTCAGGGTCGGGATCGAACCCACGACCTCCTGCATGCCGGGCGATGGAGTTGACATCTCGGCTAGGCCACACAGCAGCGACAATTGCCCCCCCCCCCCACCTCCCCCCCCCCCTACTGGCAGACTCATGATCGCTCGCAGGGCCAGGAGCTAAGTCACACATTTGGCTGCACAGAGACAGCTGCCACTGGGGGGGGGGAGGTGGGGGAGGTGGACATTTCAAATGCGTTGATGTGAGCTGATGAGGAGCATGGTGGCTCAATCAAAATCGAATCGGTATCATCAGCATCAGCAGCAGCTTTGTCGTCGGCAGTCGCACCAGCATCCAAAGTGTTGGTCATCGTCACCATCGTCGTGTTTATCATCATTCGCACCGCCTTCATCATCAGCAGCAGCGGTATTAGCAACAGCACCATCATCATCATCGGTAACAGTCATTTACGTCGTAAGTAGCAGCAGCGTCATCACCATCATCAATAATAACAACAACATCACCATCATCACCATCAACAATAACATCATCACCATCACCAGTTACCGGCATCATTGACCTCAGCCGGGCGCTAGGTGTCTAACCTGTACCTTTGCACTGCGTGAGGCTGGTGGCGCCGTCGCTGTCCGTGGTGCTGCCCTGGGGGCATGGAGAGCACCACCGCTGTCCCGACCTCGTCTGGTAGGAGCCCCGAGGGCAGCGGTGGCAGTGCATGGATGATGATGATGATGGTGATGATGATGATGGTGATGTTGATGATGATGACTGTTCATAGTAGTGGCCGGGTGGGCAGAGAACTGCAAAACAAAGGCAAAGATCCCCCTTATAGCCTATGCAGACTGGTTGGGGCAAGTGCTGTACTTATTAAGGCTGGCACGGCGCAGGAAACGCCTGGCATGGCCAGAACGATCCCCGGTCGCCTTTGTCTCCCCAGTGCTGATGTTTATTTACACACCGCGCCAGGTGCGTCATTTTCAGGCTGGGTTAACCTAGAAGAGTCCCAGAACTTGTTCGGATATCACTAACGTTAGCCGTGGCGGGGAGTCGAACCCAGGTCGCCAGGTTTATAGTGCAGTGTGCTGAGCAGACGCACCAAATACAAAGATCCCCCATACGGACTTTAACAGACTTGGGGCAAGTGCTATTAGCGAGGACACAAGATAAAGGCCTCCCGTATAGCCTTAGCAGACTGTTGGGGCAAGTGCTGTTAGCGAGCAGCACCTATGAAGGCCGGCACGGCGCACGAGGGGGTGGGTGGCCAGCACCACGCCCGGCCGCCTTTGTCTCCCCTGACACAGATACACCACATACACACACGCGTGCACACGCACGCACAGAGGCGGCGACCTGGCAACAAATGATAGCTCAATCAAATAAAATGGCTTGTCGTCATCATCATCATCAGCACGTGGAAATGTATTGCAGCAGCCAAATGTACTAAACGCGTGACGCTGATTCTAAATGTGGAGGGGCAAAATCGGAGGACTCGGAGAAAAATCCACGCGACCACGGGGAGAGAGAGAGACACGCAAACTCCAAATATACAGCAGCAGGTGTCAGGGTCGGAATCGAACCCATGACCTCCTGTATACCAGGCGAGGTAGTTAACGTCTCCTAGCCACCGTGATGATGATGAGAGAGACACCGCTAACTCTAAACATACAGCAGCAGGCGTCAGGGTCGGGATGGAACCCACGACCTCCTGTATACCAGGCGAGGTAGTCAACATCTCATAGCCACCGTGATGATGATGAGAGAGACACCGCTAACTCTAAACATACAGCAGCAGGCGTCAGGGTCGGGATGGAACCCACGACCTCCTGTATACCAGGCGAGGTAGTCAACATCTCATAGCCACCGTGATGATGATGAGAGAGACACCGCTAACTCTAAACATACAGCAGCAGGCGTCAGGGTCGGGATGGAACCCACGACCTCCTGTATGCCAGGCGAGGTAGTCAACATCTCATAGCCACCGTGATGATGATGAGAGAGACACCGCTAACTCTAAACATACAGCAGCAGGCGTCAGGGTCGGGATGGAACCCACGACCTCCTGTATGCCAGGCGAGGTAGTCAACATCTCATAGCCACCGTGATGATGATGAGAGAGACACCGCTAACTCTAAACATACAGCAGCAGGCGTCAGGGTCGGGATGGAACCCACGACCTCCTGTATGCCAGGCGAGGTAGTCAACATCTCATAGCCACCGTGGCGTCCCGAAGTTCCCACTTTCGTGAATAAAAACACCGCCGCCACCGCGTGCGCGCGTGTCCCCTGAATAAAACAAAACATAATAGGCGACGTTTCGGGCAACGACGCTCCTCCATGTGTTCTTATTGTGTTCGGCGGTGACGCTTAGCCTCTTGGCCGCGTTCCTGGGGCTAGCGGCATTTCCTTGTGTCTACGCCTCTGTCGTGAAATTCCCTGCCGCTGGAAATGCGTTTAACGAGACACTGTGGATACGTTTAAGTGGCATCTAAACAATGAAAACCCGCATTTTATTAAGTTCGTATATTCTATGCAGCTCCCCCTTATCTCTCGGCCTTCTCGTTAACCTCAATCTTACAAGGCGCCGTGAGACGTCAGTGTCAGGCGCCTTACGAACACGCGGCGACTATTATTATTGTTGTTGTTGTTAGTAGTAGCTACCGGCCGAGGCAAGTGAACAATCTCCTCGTCACGGTGGGTACCCCCCCCTCACTCGCCCCCTCCCTCGCACCCCCCCCCTCCCTCGCCCCCCCCCTCCCTCGCCCCCCTCCCTCGCCCCCACCTCCCTCGCCCCCCTCCCTCACCCCTCCCGTCGTCCCCCCTCCCTCGCCCCCCTCCCTCGCACCCCCTCCCTCGCACCCCCTCCCTCGCCCCCCCCCTCCCTCGCCCCCCTCCCTCGCCCCCACCTCCCTCGCCCCCCTCCCTCACCCCTCCCCTCGTCCCCCCTCCCTCGCCCCCCTCCCTCGCACCCCCTCCCTCGCCCCCACCTCCCTCGCCCCCCCTCCCTCGCCCCCACCTCCCTCGCCCCCCTCCCTCGCCCCCCCTCCCTCGCCCCCCCTCCCTCTGCCCCCCTCCCTCGCACCCCCTCCCTCGCCCCCCTCCCTCGCCCCCCTCCCTCGCACCCCCTCCCTCGCACCCCTCCCTCGCCCCCCCTCCCTCGTCCCCTCCCTCTGCCCCCCTCCCTCGCCCCCCCCTCCCTCGCACCCCTCCCTCGCCCCCCTCCCTCGCCCCCCTCCCTCGCCCCCCCCCACCCCCCCACCCCCGACTCACCGCGCGCGTCGCAATCCCCGAAGCGTGCGCCTCGCGTCCTCCGTGCGCGGCCCCTGCACGGCGCGCACGCCACGCGCCCCGCCTCCGCCTGGTAGGAGCCCCGGGGGCACGGGGAGCAGGGCTCGAACCCGTCCGGCGACACGGAGCCTGCGGGGCACGGCACTGCGGCAAGGCGCGCGCCGCGGTTCGGGACGAGGCCGTGAGCTCCCCCGACTCGCGTGCGAGGAGGTTCGTCGCGTTCGACTCCCCCCGCCCGGAGGTGATGACGCCTCTTGTGTATTTACAAGTGTTGCGTGTTCTGTGTCTGACTGAGTCACTCTCTCACTCACTCTCACTCACTCTCAATTACTCGCTCTCACTCTCACTCACTCTCTCAATCTCACTCTCACTTACTCTCACTCACTCTCACTCACTCTCTCAATCTCACTCTCACTCACTCTCTCAATCTCACTCTCTCACTCTCACTCACTCTCTCAATCTCACTCACTCTCCCTCATCATCTCACTTACTCTCACTCACTCACTCTCTCACTCTCACTCACTCACTCTCTCACTCTCACTTACTCTCACTCACTCTCACTCACTCTCACTCACTCTCAATTACTCGCTCTCACTCTCTCACTCACTCTCACTCTCACTTACTCTCCCTCATCCTCTCACTTACTCTCACTCACTCTCACTCACTCACTCTCTCACTCTCACTCACTCTCACTCACTCTCACTCACTCTCAATTACTCGCTCTCACTCTCTCACTCACTCTCACTCTCACTTACTCTCCCTCATCCTCTCACTTACTCTCACTCACTCTCACTCACTCACTCTCTCACTCTCACTCACTCACTCTCTCACTCTCACTTACTCTCACTCACTCTCACGCACTCTCATCCACCCTCTCACTCACTCTCACTCTCACTTGCTCTCACTCACTCTCACTCACTATCTCACTCACTCTCTCTCACCCTCTCAAACTCACTTACTTTCTCTCACTCTCACTTATTCGCTCTCACTCTCACTTACTCTCACTCACTCTCTCAATCTTACTCACTCTCACTCACTCTCTCACTCTCTCATTCACTCTCACTCACTCTCAATCTCACTCACTCTCTCACACTCACTTACCCTCACTCACTCTCTCCCTCACTCTCACTCTCTCAATCTCACTCTCACTCACTCTCACCCTCTCACTCTCACTCACTCTCTCACTCACTCTCTCACTCACTCTCACTCATTCTCACTTACTCTCACTCACTCTCACTCACTCTCTCAATCTTACTCACTCTCTCACTCTCACTCACTCCCTCACTCTCTCATTCACTCTCAATCTCACTCTCTCTCACTCACTTACTCTCACTCACTCTCTCCCTCACTCTCAATCTCTCAATCTCACTCTCACTCACTCGCACCCTCTCACTCTCACTCACTCTCTCACTCTCACTCACTCTCTCACTCACTCAATCTCACTTACTCTCACTCACTCTCACTCACTCTCTCAATCTCACTCACTCTCTCAATCTCACTCATTCTCTCTCGCTCTCTCTCTCACTCTCTCTCGCTCTCTCTCTCTCTCGCTCCCCGTGGTCGGAGTGGATTCCTGTCCGGGTCCTCCGTTTGTTTTTCTTCTTCACCACTAAGTGTCGGTGACATCACCATGTGGATTGTGTACAGGCTAGGTGCAGGAGGTTCACGGGACAGACGCCTGTTGCTGTATAGTCGAAGTTTGCGTGTTTCTCTCTCCCTCTGCCCGTGGATTTGTCATTCGGGACCCCCGGTTTTCCCCCTCCGCATTTAGAAGCAACGTGGCCCGAACGTCTGGCTGCCGTTCTAAATGTCGAAGCGATGATGACGACGACAAGCCGCTCGGGGTCGAGCTATCCGTCACTTGTGGCCAGGTGGCTTCTGAAAAACAGCTAAGTGGCTGGGTGGAGTATTATTATTATTTTCTGTATCTATAGAGAGAGAGAGACCCAGGATAGAGAGGCTCATTTGCAAGAGTTTTCTGCCAGCATTCGTCTGCTGCCAATGTGATGGTGATGGTCGCTGATGCTGCGGATGCTGCGTTTCTGTGGGGGGCTATATGAGTTCTCTCGCCCTGTACAAGCAAGCATCCGAACTCAACGTTTGTTATTCTTGGTTCTTCTACGTGGTGACTTTACCGAAAGAACCGAGAATATGAATCCCTGCAGTCACGAAAGCTTTAAATAAAAATTCAACTATTGTTCTTTCATTTACCAGCTATCTGTCTGTGTGTGTGTGCGTGTATGCTAACCACTGCACTACTGCTCCCCAAAAAGACAAAAGTCGCTCGTATAGCCCGAAACAGACTGTTGGGGCAAGTGCTGTTAGCGAGATCCTATACCCACACAACACAAACAACAGCAACAACAAACGTATGCTGCTGCTGATGCTGCTGCTGCTGCTGATGCTGCTGCTGTGTAGATGTGAGAACCATGTTGTGTTTGCATGTTCACCGCATGTACTGCTGTGTGTGTGTGTGGTTAATGTAGTAAACTCGATCCCTTGCAAAAGGTTTGTGTTTGGTGTTCGAACATCTCAACACGACCCCTGTTTTTCTGCCAGGCAGGGTAAAGACCATTTGATTAGTTTTAATACTTTGAAACTGGGAAAAAAAAGGTATTCCGTGAAAAATCTGCTCACCCCCGAGCCTCACATGCAATGATAAGTGGCATTGTGCTTGTACTGGTCGCCTTTTTGGTGTTGTTCTCTGCTGTGACACTGGTGGTGAGACTGGGCCCTAAATAATGCTGCTTGTCTCTGGTGCAGGCCAATCAAGTGTAAAAAGACAATGCCCATAGATGATTATTATTACTACCAGAGTTTTGTTTACATGTTCACCGCAAGTACTGTGTGAGACTAATGCAGTAAACTTTATCCCTTGCAAAAGGTTTCTTCTGTTTGGTGTTCGAACATCTCAACACGACTCCGGTGTTATTGCCGGGCAGAGGAAAGCACGTATTCTTATTTATCGCATACTTTGATACTGGAAAAAAGGTCCCGTATATATTATGCTACTAGCTGTACTAGCCAGCTTCGCCCGGGACTTGGATCCACCACGCCCGGTCGCCTTTGTCTCCCCAGTGGCGATGTTCACACACCACAACAGTTACTCGATTGAGGCTGAGTCGACCTAGGGGAGGCCCAGGAGCGGTTGAAATAATCGTCACCGGTGGTGGCCGTGAGCGGGAATCGAACTCGGGTCGCCGGGTTCGTAGCGCGGCATAGCGCTAACCACTACACTACAATGCGTTACGCTTCCACGTGCGCGGGTCACGTGACAGATTGGACGTCACAGCTCACTTGCCGTGCAAAGAATAAATGTATTATTGAGCTCCCCCCCCCCCTAAAAAAACTAAAGTGTATTTTTATAGTTTTTGTATGGCGTACAGTCTGGAAAGTACCCACATGGCAAATTTCAAGTTTGTTGCATGTCGGGAAGTACGCTAAACTTTTTCAACAGACACACATAATCACGTCTTTGCCTTTTATATATATGGAGATGACATATTTATATTATTTAAAATGGGCATTGCTCGGGGTGTGCCGTTCCGGCCTTAAAATGTCACATTTAAGGACGTGCAGGCTGCCCGTAGTAGCATTACCATCACCACGGGGTCATTCGTCGTTATCATCATTATCATCATCATCATTATTATCATCGGTCAGTGGTTGTTGAGATCGTTTGTTAGCTGTAGCTGACGGCTTGGTGAGCTTGATTGGCTGCTACTCACCGCCGCAGTCGGAGACGTCGAGGGTCTGGCCGGGGTGTTTCGCGACGGCTGGGCACAGCACGCAAGCTTCCCCGTGGTGTCCCGCGCTATGCAACACCGCAACGCAGCTGGCTGTCAAACATCGCGGTCAGCTTCGTCGTGGTCACCACCATCATTAGCATCACCACCATCACCACGACCACCATCATCATCACCATCATCATCATCACCACCACGACCACAATCACCACCATCATCTTCACCACCACCATCATCATCGCCACAACCACAATCATCATCACCATCATCATCACCACCACGACCACAACCACCACCATCTTCATCACCACCACCACCACCACCATCATCATCACCACGACCACAATCACCACCATCATCTTCACCACCACCACCACCATCATCACGACCACAATCACCACCATCATCTTCACCACGACCACAATCACCACTATCATCACCACCACCACCATCACCACCACGACCACAATCACCACCATCATCTTCACCACGACCACAATCACCACCATCTTCACCACGACCACAATCACCACTATCATCACCACCATCACCACCACGACCAGAGTCACCACCATCATCTTCACCACGACCACAATCACCACCATCATCACCACCACCACCACCATCATCATCACCACCACGACCACAATCACCACCATCATCTTCATCACCACCACCATCACCACCACGACCACAATCACCACCATCATCTTCACCACGACCACAATCACCACCACCATCATCACCACCACCACCACCATCATCATCACCACCACGACCACAATCACCACCATCATCTTCACCACGACCACAATCACCACCATCATCACCACCACCATCATCATCACCACCACGACCACAATCACCACCATCATCATCACCACCACCACCACCACGACCACAATCACCACCATCATCTTCACCACGACCACAATCACCACCATCATCACCACCACCACCATCATCATCACCACCACGACCACAATCACCACCATCATCTTCATCACCACCACCACTACCATCATCACCAATACCATCATCATCACCACAACCACCATCATCACCATGACCACAATCACCACCATCATCACCATCACAACAACCACCATTACCACCACCACAACCACCACCACCACCACGGCCACCTCCAGCATCACCTGCAGTGGAGCACGCTGGGTGGAGGTGCTGGTTAGGCGAAGAGTGAAGGAGGGGGCGAGGGTTGGACATCACAGACGGCCTTACGGAGAGCCGTGCACACACGTCTGTGAATCGAGACAACAACAATAACAACAACACCAACAATAACAACAATAACAACAACACCAACAACAACAATAACAACAATTACACCAACAACAATAAGAACAACAATAACAACAATAACACCAACAACAATAAGAACAACAATAACACCAACAATAACAACAATAGTAACAACAACAATGACAACAACCGCCGTTCACCACTAAGTGGCCGACCATAGAGATAGTATCGTCTGTGTGGTTGTTGGTGTGTGTCTGTGCGGTGTGTGTGTGTGTCTGCACGGTGTGTGTGTGTCTGTGTGGTGTGTGTGTGTGTGTGTCTGTGTCTGCAGGGTGTGTGTGTCTGCACGGTGTGTGTGTGTGTCTGCGCGGTGTGTGTGTCTGCACGGTGTGTGTGTGTGTGCGGTTTGTGTGTCTGCACGGTGTGTGTGTGTCTGCACGGTGTGTGTATGTGTCTGCACGGTGTGTGTGTCTGTGCGGGTGTGTGTGTCTGCGCGGTGTGTGTGTGTCTGCACGGTGTGTGTGTGTCTGCACGGTGTGTGTGTGTGTGTGTCTGCACGGTGTGTGTGTGTCTGTGTGGTGTGTGTCTGCGCGGTGTGTGTGTCTACACGGTGTGTGTGTGTCTGTGCGGTGTGTGTGTGTCTGTGCGGTGTGTGTGTCTGTGCGGTGTGTGTGTCTGCACGGTGTGTGTGTGTCTGCACGGTGTGTGTGTGTCTGTGCGGTGTGTGTGTGTCTGCACGGTGTGTGTGTGTCTCTGTGTGGTGTGTGTGTGTCGGCACGGTGTGTGTGTGTCTGTGCGGTGTGTGTGTGTCTGCACGGTGTGTGTGTCTGCACGGTGTGTGTGTGTCTGTGGTGTGTGTGTGTCTGCACGGTGTGTGTGTGTCTGCGGTGTGTGTGTCTGCACGGTGTGTGTGTGTCTGTGCGGTGTGTGTGTGTGTCTGTGCGGTGTGTGTGTGTCTGTGTGGTGTGTGTGTGTCTGCACGGTGTGTGTGTCTGTGTGATGTGTGTCTGTGTGTCTGTGACTCACCCACGCAGTCCTTGAGGTTCCAGTGCAGGCTCATCCCGGGAGGACAGCCGCACGCATAGCTGCCCTGGCTGTTGACGCACGAGTGGGCACATCCGCCCTTCTCGACAGCACACTCATCCACGTCTACACGCAGCACCCCGCACAGCACACCGTACCTGTGTCACGCTACGCTGTTCCGTGGTGCTATGCTATGCGACGCCGTGGTGGTTTATGCGATTCTCTTCTGTGTCATGCTATGCCGCGTGACGCTATGCTTGATACGATGTTCACAGAATGCTATGCTATGCAATACAATGCGATGCTATGGTGTGTGCTGTTTTACAACGCAATGCTACGTGATGCTATGTTTTATGCTATGCGTTGTAATGTTATGATTTATACTATGACATGCTGTGTGATACTATGTTTGTATGCTATGCTGTGTAACGCTATCTTTTATGCTATGCTATGCAGTGTAATGCTATGTGTTATGCTATGTGATGCTTTTCAATACCATGGGATGCAATTGTGTGTTGTTTTACAACGTTATGCTTTGTGATGCTATGTTTTATATTATGCTATGTGATGTTATGTAATGCTATGCGATGCTATGGTGCTTTATACTATGCTAAGCAATGTTATGGTGTGTCTGTGGTATGTGAGGTTATGATGTGATGCTATGCCATGCTATGTGATGGTATTCTGTGGTGCTCTCTGATGCTATGTTGTGATGCTATATTACTCTATGTTGTGATGCTATGCTATGTGATGCTATGCCATGCTATGTGATGACATACTATGTAACGTTATGCTGCCACGCTATGCGATGCTGTGCTGTGATGTTATGTTTCCATGCTATGTGACGCTATGCCATGCTGTGATGCTATGGCATGCTGCGATGCTATGCCATGCTATGCTATGCCATGCCAGGCTATGCTGCGATGCTATGCCATGCCATGTTATGCTGCCATGCCATGCTATGCCATGTTGTGGTGCGATTCAATGCCATGTATGATGCCATGCCATGTTATGCCATGCTTTTCCAGGCTATGCTGCGATGCTATGCTACCATGCTATGCTGCCATGCTATGCTGCGATGCTATGCTGCCATGCTATGCTGCGATGCTCTGCTGGAGGGCTGTGCTGTGATGCTATGCTATGCTGCCATGCTATGCTGTGATGTTATGCTGTGATGCTATGCTGCGATGCTATGCTGTGATGCTATGTTGCGATGCTATGCTGCCATGCTATGCTGCGATGCTATGCTGCGATGCTATGCTGCCATGCTATGCTGCGATGCTATGCTGTGATGCTATGCTGCCATGGTATGCTGCCATGCTATGCTGTGATGTAATGCTGTGATGCTATGCTGCCGTGCTATGCTGCCATGCTATGCTGCCATGCTATGCTGCCATGCTGTGATGTTATGCTGTGATGCTATGCTGCCGTGCTATGTTGCGATGCTTTGCTGCCATGCTATGCTGCCATGCTACGCTGCGATGCTATGCTGCCATGCTATGCCGCCATGCTATGCTGCGATGCTATGCTGGGGGGCTGTACCTCCGCAGTGTGTGAGTCCGTAGAGCGCGAATCCCGGGCGGCAGGAGCAGAGGAACCCGCCCGGGAGGTTGGAGCAGGAGTGCTCGCACCGCGAGAGCTGCGAGCACTCGTCCACGTCTACACACACACAGAGGCAAAGGTCCCCCGTGTAGCCCTAGCACACTGCTGGGGCAAGTGCTGTTAGCGAGCAGCGCCTAAGCGGCGCACGAGGGGGTGGGGTGACCAGCACCGCGCCCGGCCGCCTTCGTCTCCCTCAGTGGCGATGTTTTTACGCATCCGCACCAGGTACTCATTTGAGGCTGAGTCGACCTAGGGGAGGCCCAGGACGGGTGCAGATAATCGTCACTGGGTGTTGGACAATCGAACTCGGGTCGCCAGGTCCGTAGCGCAGCGCGCTTACCGCTACACCACCGCTCCCCACATACACGCACAGACACACACGTAGACACACACACAGACATACACAGACACACACACACATAGACACACACACAGACATACACATACACAGACACACAGACCTAGACACACCCAGACACACACAGACACACAAACACACCTAGACAACAACAACCGCCATTCGCCACTAAGTGGCGGTGACGTCACCACGAAGCTTGTGCCAGGACTTGTGCACATTGAGGCTACGTGGAGTGTCGAACGCCCGCTGGCAGGAGGTCACGGGGCAGACCCAGGTGCCACGGGTCGACTGACTGAGATGACTGGCTGATGCACCACCTGTGCCCCCTACTGTGCCAACCTGCTGTGCTTTAGCCACCCGGCGCTCCGCTCGTTGTGAGCGTCGCTCCCTCCGCCCTCCGTTGTTGTTGTTGGAGGGCGACTGCCTCCAACTGCCCAGTAGCGTCCTTCACGAGCCTCCTCCACAGAGGCCGATCTTGACACCGCTGGTACCAGTCATCGGCAAGTCCACTCAGCTCCACATCCTCCTGTACGACATCACTCCATCTCTTCTCTAGCCCGTGCCGCGCCCGTTTAGCCCCCTCGATCCGGCCGAACAAAAGCTGTTTCGGCATGCGGTGGCTGGGCATGCGGGCTACATGACCCAGCCATCGCAGCCTTGCCCGCCGGAGGAGCTCACCGATGGGACCTTGCCCAGATCTTTCAAGGATTTGTGAGCTCCTCACACAATCCAGTCTGGTTAAACCCCGGGTGGATCGTAGGCAGGCCAGCCTAAATGTTTCTAACCGGTGAAGATGTTCCATTAGGGGGGTCCACGTTTCGCAAGCGTAGAGAAGGGAGGGAATGACCGTGGCCGAGAAGACCTGAAGCTTAGTGCGGAGCGACAGATCAGGTAGCTTCCACACAGCGTTGCGCAACCGATGAAAAGATACACACACAAACACATAGACACACACACAGACACACACACAGACACACACACAAACACAGACACACACACAGACAGACACACCCAGACACATACCCAGACACACACACAATCACACATAGACACACACACCTAGACACACACAGACACACACACACAGACAGACACAAACACACAGACACACACGCAGACACATCCAGACACAAAAGACAAAAATCCCCCGTATAGCCTGCACGGACTGTAGGGGCACGGCACACGATGGGGTGGGGTGACCAGCACCGCGCCCGGCCGCCTTTGTCTCCCCCAGTGGCGATGTTTGAGGCTGAGACTTAGGGAGAGGCCCAGGACCGTTTCAGATCATTGTCACTAATACAAACATTAATTGTATCAGTCCGATTCATGAAGATTGGCCAAGGTAGCAATGAACAAGAAGTCACCGACGTGACTTTACCGAAAGAACCAAAGAGTATGGATTCGTGCAGTCACGAAAGCTTAAAATCAAGGTTGGAAGAAAGGGGTCCTCTGACCACACCGAGATGCACGCCACAAAGTGGCAGCGGTCACTCGATGCAATGGCTCGCTGACATTGAACTATCGACGTCACACGGGCAGTGATCAAAGTGACGCATCGCATTTGCAAATCTGACGGTGCTGTATTCAGCAGCGCGACATCTTGGGCCACGTAGGCAACAGTGCTCATGGGAAATGTGGGGGAAGGAGAACAATCTATGGGTCTCTGTGCGAGTCTGTGGGTCTCTGTGTGAGTCTGTGGGTCTCTGTGCGAGTCTGTGGGTCTCTGTGTGAGTCTATGGGTCTCTGTGCGAGTCTGTGGGTCTCTGTGTGAGTCTATGGGTCTCTGTGCGAGTCTGTGGGTCTCTGTGCGAGTCTGTGGGTCTCTGTGTGAGTCTATGGGTCTCTGTGCGAGTCTGTGGGTCTCTGTGCGAGTCTGTGAGTCTCTATGTGAGTCTATGGGTCTCTGTGCGAGTCTGTGGGTCTCTGTGCGAGTCTGTGGGTCTCTGTGCGAGTCTGTGGGTCTCTGTGTGAGTCTATGGGTCTCTGTGCGAGTCTGTGGGTCTCTGTGCGAGTCTGTGGGTCTCTGTGCGAGTCTGTGGGACTCTGTGTGAGTCTGTGTGTCTCTGTGTGAGTCTGTGGGTCTCTGTGCGAGTCTGTGGATCTCCGTGCGAGTCTATGGGTCTCTGTGTGAGTCTATGGGTCTCTGTGTGAGTCTATGGGTCTCTGTTCGAGTCTGTGGGTCTCTGTGCGAGTCTGTGGGTCTCTGTGCGAGTCTGTGGGTCTCTGTGCGAGTCTGTGGGTCTCTGTGCGAGTCTGTGGGTCTCTGTGTGAGTCTGTGGGTCTCTGTGCGAGTCTGTGGGTCTCTGTGTGAGTCTGTGAGTCTCTGTGCGAGTCTGTGGGTCTCTGTGTGAGTCTGTGGGTCTCTGTGCGAGTCTGTGGGTCTCTGTGTGAGTCTGTGGGTCTCTGTGTGAGTCTGTGGGGCTCTGTGCGAGTCTATGGGTCTCTGTGCGAGTCTGTGGGTCTCTGTGCGAGTCTGTGGGTCTCTGTGTGAGTCTGTGGGTCTCTGTGCGAGTCTATGGGTCTCTGTGCGAGTCTGTGGGTCTCTGTGCGAGTCTGTGGGTCTCTGTGCGAGTCTGTGGGTCTCTGTGTGATTCTGTGGGTCTCTGTGTGAGTCTGTGGGTCTCTGTGTGAGTCTGTGGGTCTCTGTGTGAGTCTGTGGGTCTCTGTGTGAGTCTGTGGGTCTCTGGGTGAGTCTGTGGATCTCTGTGCGAGTCTGTGGGTCTCTGTGCGAGTCTGTGGGTCTCTGTGCGAGTCTGTGGGTCTCTGTGCGAGTCTGTGGGTCTCTGTGTGAGTCTGTGGGTCTCTGTGTGAGTCTGTGGGTCTCTGTGCGAGTCTGTGGGTCTCTGTGCGAGTCTGTGGGTCTCTGTGCGAGTCTGTGGGTCTCTGTGTGTGTCTATGGGTCTCTGTGTGTGTCTATGGGTCTCTGTGTGAATCTGTGGGTCTCTGTGTGAGTCTGTGGGTCTCTGTGTGAGTCTGTGGGTCTCTGTGTGAGTCTGTGGGTCTCTGTGTGAGTCTGTGGGTCTCTGTGCGAGTCTATGGGTCTCTGTGCGAGTCTGTGGGTCTCTGTGCGAGTCTATGGGTCTCTGTGCGAGTTTGTGGGTCTCTGTGCGAGTATATGGGTCTCTGTGCGAGTCTGTGGGTCTCTGTGTGAGTCTGTGGGTCTCTGTGTGAGTCTGTGGGTCTCTGTGTGAGTCTATGGGTCTCTGTGTGAGTCTGTGGGTCTCTGTGTGAGTCTGTGGGTCTCTGTGTGAGTCTGTGGGTCTCTGTGCGAGTTTGTGGGTCTCTGTGCGAGTATATGGGTCTCTGTGCGAGTCTGTGGGTCTCTGTGCGAGTCTGTGGGTCTCTGTGCGAGTCTGTGGGTCTCTGTGCGAGTCTGTGGGTCTCTGTGAGAGTCTGTGGGTCTCTGCGTGAGTCTGTGGGTCTCCGTGTGAGTCTATGGGTGTCTGTGCGAGTCTGTGGGTCTCTGTGAGAGTCTGTGGGTCTCTGCGTGAGTCTGTGGATATCTGTGCGAGTCTGTGAGTCTCTGTGTGAGTGTGTGGGTCTCTGTGCGAGTCTATGGGTCTCTGTGTGAGTCTGTGGATCTCTGTGCGCTTCTGTGAGTCTCTGTGTGAGTGTGTATGTATGTTGAACTACGGATGGTGTCGCGGTGCACAGCAGCGGAGGTAGCAGCGGCGGTAGCAGTGGAGGGAGCCTGTCACCGTGGCACGAGCGCTGGTCGGGCTGGAGGGTGAACCCCGGCGCACAGCGGCACGCGAAGCTGCCGGGGACGTTCACGCAGAGGCCCAAACAGCCCCCGTTAGCCACAGCGCACTCGTCCACATCTGAGGGTGGGGGGTGGGCGGGAGGGGCAGGAGGGGAGGGGAGGGAGGGAGGGAGGGGAGGGAGGGGGAGGGAGGGAGGGGAGGGGAGGGAGGGGACGGAGGGGTGGGAGGGAGGGAGGGAGGGGAGGGATGGGAGGGGGTGGCGGCAGGGAGGGGGGAGACACGTGGTAAGCCAGAGTTAATGAATGGGGATGGACTTGTGTCGTCATTCCCTGGTCTCACAGCGGTGCAAGAGACGAGGCCCTGTGAAGACAAAGAAGAAGGCTGACTGGTGGAGCACAGTGGTTCTTACCCTGGGGGTGCACTACACTATACACTACACTAATATACACTACACTACTATACACTACACTACTATACACTACACTAATATACACTACACTACTATACACTACACTACTATACACTACACTAATATACACTACACTACTATACACTACACTATACACTACACTACTATAAACTACACTATACACTACACTACTATACACTACACTACTATACACTACACTACTATACACTACACTACTATACACTATACTACAATACACTACACTACTATACACTACTATACAATACACTATACACTACACTATACACTACACTACTATAAACTACACTATACACTACACTACTATACACTACACTATACACTACACTACTATACACTACACTACTATACACTACACTACAATACACTACACAACACTACTATACACTACACTACTATACACTACACTATACACTACTATGCGCTACACTATACACTACACTATACACTACTCTACACTATACACTAAACTATACACTACACTATACACTCCGCTCTACACTACACTATACACTTCTCTACACTATACACTACTCTATACTATAAAGTAAAATACACTACACTGTACATGACACTATACACTACTACACACTACTGTACTCTACACTATACACTACTATACACTGCTATACACTACTATACACTACACTAGACTATACACTACTATACACTACACACTACTATACGCTACACTATACACTCATATACAGGACTCTATACACTCCGCTCTACACTACACTATACACTAATATACACTACACTATACACTACACTATACACTACAATATACACTCTGATCTACACTACACTATACACTAATATACACTACAATATACACTACAATATACACTACACTATACACTACAATATACACTACACTATACACTACACTACTATACACTACACTATACACTAATATACACTACACTATACACTACACTATACATTACACTATACACTACACTATACACTACACTATACACTACTATACACTAAACTATACACTACGCTGTACACTAATATACACTACAATATACACTACAATATACACTACACTATACACTACACTATACACTACACCAATGAACCACTGGTGTCGGCCAATCAGTTTTAAAGACGATGCGAACCTCATTATTATCAGGGCACGCTTGTGTGCCTGTCTTACCCACAAGCGCCTCCGTGTGGTTAATGCGGTACTTGATTCGTTTGGTGTTTGAACATCCGAACATCTCCTGGTTTGTTTAAATGTCAGAAAGGGTAACACATTACTTTGATACTGGTAAAAAACAAACAAACATAGTGGTGAATGAGTTGATCAAGTTAGTCACCGTAATCACCTTTACTGACCCCCCCCCCCCCAGGTAATTGAACCTCATGGTGTGACCCCGGGGTCCTGAATAAACGGAAGTCAAAATGATCATTCGTGAATTTATTTTTGGCGACTCCGTCCCACGGCGCACACAAACTGCTGCGACCCCCCAGAAACCAGTCCTCTCGTTCGTCGTCCGAGCACACCCCCCCCCCCCCCCGTCTTTGCCAAAATTGCCGTAGTCACCAGGGGCTGAGCCACAGGGGGGGGGGCTGGGGGGGGGCTCAGCCCCCCCTGAAATTTTGGGAAAGTCGGTAATCGGGATAACCGGATATCCGGCTGCTGCAAAATGCTGCAGGCTGCCACCTTGTGTGCTGCCCTGCAGGCTGCCACCTTGTGCTGCCCTGCAGGCTGCCCTGCAGGCTGCCACCTTGTGCTGCCCTGCAGAATGCCACCTTGTGTGCTGCCCTGCAGGCTGCCCAGCAGGCTGCCACCTTGTGCTGCCCTGCAGAATGCCACCTCGTGCTTCCCTGCAGGCTGCCACCTCGTGCTGCCCTGCAGGCTGCCACCTCGTGTGCTGCCCTGCAGGCTGCCACCTTGTGTGCTGCCCTGCAGGCTGCCACCTTGTGTGCTGCTACCCTGCAGGCTGCCACCTTGTGCTGCCCTGCAGGCAGCCACCTTGTGTGCTGCCCTGCAGGCTGCTACCTTGTACTGCCCTGCAGGCTGCCCTGCAGGCTACCACCTTGTGTGCTGCCCTGCAGGCTGCCACCTTGTGCTGCCCTGCAGACTACCACCTTGTGTGCTGCCCTGCAGGCTGCCACCTTGTGCTGCCCTGCAGACTACCACCTTGTGTGCTGCCCTGCAGGCTGCCACCTTGTGCTGCCCTGCAGGCTGCCACCTTGTGTGCTGCCCTGCAGGCTGCCACCTTGTGTGCTGCCCTGCAGGCTGCCACCTTGTACTGCCCTGCAGGCTGCCACCTTGTACTGCCCTGCAGGCTGCCACCTTGTACTGCCCTGCAGGCTGCCACCTTGTGCTGCCCTGCAGACTACCACCTTGTGTGCTGCCCTGCAGGCTGCCACCTTGTGCTGCCCTGCAGGCAGCCACCTTGTGTGCTGCCCTGCAGGCTGCTACCTTGTGTGCTGCCCTGCAGGCTGCCACCTTGTGCTGCCCTGCAGGCTGCCACCTTGTGTGCTGCCCTGCAGGTTACCACCTTGTGCTGCCCGGCAGGCTGCTTGAGCGGCAGCCTTTCGAACTTATCGAACTTATTATTAGCCACATCAGCGGCTCCGACCTATTAATAAACTCTGCGTTCAAATCCAATAAAATTTGTTTTTTTTTACATTTGTGGAGCCCATTGGAAAACATAAACACTGGATATCTCAGAATATTGAAGTCAGCCCCCTCCCCAAAGTCAAAATCCTGGCCCCGCCCCTGGTAGTCACAGACAAAACTTTGAAATCTACATCATGGGGCCTCCTTTGCCAGTACCACAACATGATCATAGGTTTCCAGCATTTTTTTCTGGCAACAAAACAGCTGTGTTGAGATGTTCAAACACCAAACTGAAACCTTTTACAAGGAACCATGTCTGCATCAACCACAATGCTTGTGGTCAGAATGCAGACGAAAAACTCTGATAAAGTATGATGCATTGTCCTTGAAACTGATTGGTCCACACCAGAGACGGCTTTCTTTTGAGCCTTTTGGCATCCTCTGGTCTAGCGCCGTTTGAGACGAAGCTCAAAAAAAAGCTGTCTCTGAGTGTGGACCAATCAGTTTCAAAGACAATGCATCGTGCTATCAGCGTGCTTTTTTGTTTTCATTCTGACCACAAGCATTGTGGTTAACGCAGACACATGATTCCTCGTAAAAAAAGGTTTCAGTTTGGTGTTCTAACATCTTAACACAACAACAACAACAAAAAAGGGGTAAAAAAACCTATCATCAAAACTTTGAAACTTCGACGAGAGACATCGCGTGGAGCTCGCCGAGAGGGATCGATCGCGGTGCCGATCGCCTTCAACAGGCATACAATGACGTCGCAACGCAGTTCATGCGAGAGCCGTGGGCTTCAATTACCGAAGTTGAACTTATTTCGCCTATAGGGTGGATCCTTGTGTAACTGTGCGTCGGAGTGGATGTGCGTGCGTACGTAGATGTGCGTGCGTGTGTGTATGCACGCGTGTGTATGTGCGTGTGTGTATGTGCGTGCGTGAATGTGCGTGCGTGTGTGGAAGTGTGTTGCGTGGATGTGCGTGTGCGTTTGGATGTGCGTGTGTGGATGTGCGTGCGTGTGTGTATGTGCGTGCGTGGATGTGCGTGTGCGTTTGGATGTGCGTGTGTGGATGTGCGTGCGTGTGTGTATGTGCGTGTGTGGATGTGCGTGTGCGTTTGGATGTGCGTGTTTGGATGTGCGTGCGCGCGTGGATGTGCGTGCGTGGATGTGCGTGTGTGGATGTGCGTGTGTGTATGTGCGTGCGTGGATGTGCGTGTGCGTTTGGATGTGCGTGCGTGGATGTGCGTGCGTGTATGTGCGTGCGTGGATGTGCGTGTGCGTTTGGATGTGCGTGTGCGTTTGGATGTGCGTGTTTGGATGTGCGTGTGTGGGATGTGCATGCGTGAATGTGCGTGCGTGGATGTGCGTGCGTGTGTGTGTGTATTTGCGTGCGCGCGTGGATGTGCGTGTGTGGGATGTGCGTGCGTGGATGTGCGTGCGTGCAGGTTCAGGAGGAATGCCCCGTCGCGTGCGTGCCGTGCGCGCACCAGAGGCCCCGCGATGAGCTGCGAGCCAGCGTTGCGTGATCGTGATGAGCGCTCGGCCGCGCCGTGCGTGTGGGGAGCGAGGTATGCCCCATGCGTGGCGTGCCCCCGAATTCGGCTCCCGATCAAACGCGGACTCCTCATTCCGAGCGCGCCAGCCTCCGCGAGACAGGCGAAACTTCCTCCCCTTTCGCTACCCCGTGACACACACCTGCTACGCATTCTTGCGTGCCGGAATTCTCTGTGCGCACGCACGCACGTGTCTGTGCGTGCGTGCGTGCGTGCGTGCGTTGAACATCTTTCGCGCCGTTACTTGGCCCAGCCGTGGATGATCGGAGAGTGCGGGGGGAAGGACAACAAACTAGACGCGACGACATTTCCGCCCTAGCTAAGACATTGCCGCTCTATGTAAGACATTGCCACCCTATGTAAGACATTGCCACCCTGTCTAAGACATTGCCACCCTATGTAAGACATTGCCACCCTGTCTAAGACATTGCCACCCTATGTAAGACATTGCCACCCTATGTAAGACATTACCACCCTATGTAAGACATTGCCACCCTATGTAAGACATTGCCACTCTGTGTAAGACATTGC